CAGCGTTGAAGTTGAAGTCACAGATAGATTGAAGTAGCATTCTTGGCTAACGATTTCATTCTGTATTAAAATTATAAAAATGGGGGGAAATGCTAGGTCTGGTTCTATTATCTATGTACAAATTTCACTGTCTATACGGTGATAGGAGCATAAAAGCTGAATGTGCCATTGGGATCATACTTCTGCTTCAGGCTGCGGAGCTTGTCCTGACGCCACTGCTCGGAGCCGTACCACTGCTGCGTCGTCTCGGTGCCGAAGGCGTAGTTGACGTACGTATGCACTTCAGAGCGGCCGCTTCCGGTGTGGAGGATCTCACGAAGCTGCTGGCCAAGGGCGGCGGCCTTTTGGTCGAGAGCGGCGTCGGCGGGCTCGTAGCTGATGAGAGGAGCGGCGAGGCAGTTGTCTCCTCTAAAGGCGAAGGCTGAGGACATTGGGTCGATGGCCTTGACGCCCTGGGTAGAGTAGCCCTCGAACATGAAGATGGAGTTGTGGAAGGGGCTGGCGAGGTTTGCCTGGGCGGCGAAGAGGTCGTAGGCTTGTTTCATGGCAGAAGGGTTGTAGGCCTCCAGGTAGATGGGGAAACGAGGGTTGGAGAGGCCGACCTTCTGGCAAGGCGGGGAGTCAGTAGCGATGCCGGTCCATCCGGCTAGGTCCTTGTAAGTTCCGGCCTTGGGCTCGGTGGTGAGGGGGCCGATGTCATGGAACGGTTTGGTAACGGTCGGATCGACAGCCTTGACTCCTTCTTGGATGAGGTAGAAGATGATGACGGGCTGGAGGATGTTAGCGATGGAACTACGAAGGGGATTGATAGCGATAAATGATTAAAAAAAGTGGCTGCACTGACCTTGTTGGCATCGGCACCGGGGTTGTTGAGCCAGTAGGACCAGTTGATGATGTTGACGGGCTGGCTCATGAGGAGGTTGTTGGCAGCCTGGTAGACAGCCTCGACCTTGTCACCGGAATAAGTCAGGGTCTCGATGGCCCAGTCGGTGTACTCGATGTCGAAGATCTTGATAGTGACAGAAGTGACGATGCCAAAGTTGTGGCCGGCACCTTTCATGGCCCACCAGAGATCAGAGTCCGGTTTGATGGTCTTGAGGCTGCCATTAGCAAAGACGATGTCCATCGACAGGAACTGATCGGCGATGAGCCCGTGGTGACCCTGAAGCCAGCCGTGGCCACCTCCAAGAGCAGGTCCAAGATAGCTGACACACTCGCAGGTCCCGGTCACTATCAACATCAGTCATTATGAGCTCAATAGTAGCTTTAAAGTTCAAGAAAATGTACTGACCAGCCTGTTTCTTAGCATCCCAGAGGGTATCGGTGACGAGTTTGGAGTTTGTTCCACCTCCAATCTTGACTGATTTACCATCCTGGGCGATTTCGACGCTGCTGAGCTGTTTCATAAAGATCTCGATACCACCATTCATCTTGCCCAACGTGGTGAGGGCGCCATGGGCACCGTTGTAAGCAAGGAATGGGACTTGTTTCTTGTTTGCGAATTTGACCTGGCATTTAATTAGTCGATATAAATATAGAAGACAATAAAAGAAGAACTTACCGTTTCAACAACGTCATTGGCATTATCCGGGACAACGACGACTTTCACCTGGGGAGCATCAAGGGCCGACCAACGATTCGTAGCGGTATCATAGTCACTTGAGCCGGGCATATAGACCTTTGCACCCCCCGACAGCTTGGGGACAAGCTGAGTCTGGACGTCGTTAACCCAGCCACTGCCCGCATCCCTGGGACAGATGTCAACAGCACAATCAGCACTACTCTGGATGCTTCTGGCGGCTGAGCTCGTCGCCCACGCGGCGAGCGCCATGATGATCCCCTTTGCAAGCCCTTGCATATTCACAAGAAGGACCGGATTAAAGGGTAGGGGTTGGATTGGGGAATTGGTGCAATATTATGCAGGAAATGAGACGTTAAAAGAAAAAAAGAACCGCCCCGAGAGATAGCAAGCCGCCATCGCCAATACTTAAGATCAGCGAAAAAAGGGACTGGAAAATAAGCAAAGAGCGATGTCCGTAGACTATAGGCCATCTCCAACGCCGTACTCCGAAGCTAGCGACATCAAGGGCATCGCGGCATGGCAGCCCGGCAAAGGGGGAATAGCGTATTTTAATATCGACCAGGGTCTCCCGAGCATGCAGCATCCCGGATCCCGGTTCCCCTGGATTGGCCGTAATTGGCAAATAATAAACTGGAGATTCCCAGATGGAGACGCCAGAACCGGGATGGAAATTGTCAGATGCAGCCAAGTATGTATAAATGGGCCCGGAGTATCAGAACTGTATTATATTGGCCACACAGAGAGCCGGTTTTTTTCTTTTCTTTTTTTATTTATATTCTTTTTCGCCATGGGTTCCGTCATGGTTTTGCCTCAAAGGGCCGGCCAGGCGTTGTCCTGAGGCCGTACACTGTAGTAGTTCGCAAAATGGGCGAGAGAAGTTTGAGCAGCAGCAGCAGCAGAGAGGCTCGTATCTCGGTTTCTCCTCAGATGCAACCATGGCTTGGGCGATCAGACGGCAGGGGATCCCGGAACCAGAGCTGTTCATCTCTTGTCTCTTTTCCTCATAACTCGGGTCTTTTTTCTTTCTGGCATGGTTGTTGATTGTTGCATTGCATCTGTATACACCCTTGATATTCGACCATGCATAGACACTGAGTGTGACCTTTTTTTGATATACACCACCCTTTTCTTCCGTTCAGTTCTCGTTTATTGGAATATCGACCATGCTGCCAACGGACCCGGCAGCGGTGGCAGCGGCACAGGAGGCTGGTCGCCAGGCCACGATCGAGATATGGACGCTCTTCTCCATCGGCTTCACGGCGACGATGCTGAGGATATACGCGCGAATACACGCCGTAGGAGTGAAGAACCTGCGGCCAGACGACTATCTAGTGCTGGTAGCCCTGGTCAGTAACCAACAGGACAGGTCGAGGATCTCGTTTGGGGGTCCCCCCCCCCCCCCCCCCCGGTCTATAGGATGTTGCTGATATCTCTTACTTGCTGCAGGTGTTGTACGCTGCACAGTCGACGTTGGGCTACCACGTAGGCAGCCAGGCTCATGGACTGGCAAACAACTTCATGTCGAACGAAGAGCGGGCAAAGCTGTCGGTGGATGATCCGGAGTATCACTTCAGGTGTGTATTTACATGGATCTAATCGTAGGAAGCATAAGCTGACCAGGTTTTTGTAGGGTGATCGGGTCGAAGATACAGCTGGCGGGCTGGACGACCTATACAGGCCTGATATCGATGCTCAAGTTCTCGATGCTGGCATTCTACATCAGACTGACAGTGCGACTGCGACCCTACCTCTACCCGAATGGTATGATGCTAACAGTCGTTAATAGGAGGGCGTCGGCGGCTCGTATCGCCTGCAGATTTACATCGGCTTTGGCCTGGTCGGGGGGACTTGTCTGGCGTCGCTGCTCACCATCTTCACGGCCTGTCGACCTACGTCCAAGTACTGGCAGATCTATCCGGACCCAGGCAGTCAGTTCTTGCTACTCTCTTACTCGTTCTATATATCTATATTTACCTGTCTAATGGGCAATTCTAGACTCCTGCCAGCCTGCGGTATCCCTGCCGATAGTCTGGGTTTCGTTCGCAGCCAACATCATCACCGACATCTACCTGATACTGATCCCTCTGCCCATGCTCTGGAGGTCGACGCTGAGGACGATCAAGAAGGTAGCTGCCAGCGTCGTGCTCGGCGCCGGAATCTTCGTCCTCGTCTGCGCCTGTCTCAAGAGTATCTTCGTCCTCGTGGTATGTTCTGCCTGTTGCCTAGAGATGCGTGTGTGTGTATGTGCTGACGACGGTAGAACCCTGTCCATGGCGCACAGCTTGCAGGCGCATGGGGAGTCCGTGAAGCGTTCGTCGCGGTGATGGTGACCAACCTGCCGATGATCTTCCCTCTGATCCGAGCGATGCTCACCCCGTACTTCTCCAAGCTCTTCTCGACGCAGAAGAAGTCGAGCTACAAGTCGCCGGGCTTCCAGACCATCGGCGGCACTCCTCGAGGCGGCAACTCGTCCTACAACCGCAACAACGGCCGCCGCCAGCCCCAGAGCGACCTCACCACCAGCTTCACGCTCAACAGCAGCAACGAGCGCATCGTCGACAACAACGTCAAGCTGCAGGACCTCAAGACCTTCGCTTCGCTCGACCAGGAGCCTAACGAACCCCCGCCCGCGCGAGGCATCATGATCTCAAACTCAGTCGAGGTCATGCACGAGGATAGGGGTAATTCGCACGACGACGATCAACAGCAACGTGTGGAACATGTCCGTGAAGCCTGGTAGCTAGCTCAACACGGGCATCTTAGATGAGGCATGACGTTCAAGACCTTGATCATACATACAGGGAGGGGAAAGAAAGACATATTATCCCTTTTTTCCCTTAATAACAAAACCCCCGGTGTTGTTTTCTGCAGGGAGGGAGAAGATCCATCTGTCCGCCAACGACTGAGACGTCTTCGATACTCGTTCGACCTTGACCTTTGACCGCTGCGCTTTCGACCTACCAGACCTGGGGACAGACACCCTCACAGGCTGCTACGTAATTCCTTTTTCACCTACCGTTTTGGTCCTTAGAGTGGTTAAATGATACCCCTTCCATATTTTATTGCTTTTTCTTCTTATTTCCCCTCCCTGGTTCTGTTGTTCAAACCGTTGCATATATTTTCCCCCACTATATACGGAGTACGAGCGGAGGGTCTTTTGAGCATTTCTTTTTCTTGTCGATACCATTTCTTCCATCTTGCATATTGTATACAAATCCTGACGCTTCATGTGTATTAAAACGAGTGTATAAACAGAACTAATATCAATCAACCATACAAAAACGATACTTCCATCCTCTTCTATGCTTAAGATTAACATTCACAAGCTTTTTGATAGCCGAGGAAGCAAAAGGCTCGCTCTAGCCCGCGATGGGAAGTAAACCCGGTCAAGTCGGCCTGTCTTGTACTAATGACGATGATCTTCGCATCAGACGGTAAACCATATATATCGTATTATTTAGTGCAACGTGGTAGAGCCATATATCTTGCCATACTCCGTGCTGTAAGAGGCTGGTGGCCAAAGAGCAGGTAGACCAGCGGATCCTCAACATGCAAATGGCCTCGATCGCCTTAAGTCTTCTAGAAAGTATTCACCACCGTTGAGAGAAGTTGTCTGCCAACACATGACATACAATGCATCTGTAACCCCATGGAGTAAATGGACGCAAGTGTCCAGTTTAGCGTGTGCCATACCTTGCTGGGATCTCTACTTACAACATAGTTACATACATAGTAGTACATATGTATATTCATCACCCCGGTCGAGCCAAGCAACCATGCACTTGTACATTGGTGATGGGCTTTCTCTGATGAACTCCTGCAGAACGAAAACGGCGCACACACCTCTTTGCTAGGTCGCAAAGCGTAAAAGCACCGTAGAAGATGAAACGCGTTTAGCCCAGATGTCCCGCTCAGCAGAAATGGAGGAGCCTCAACATATGCCCCGTAAATCTCGATCCTGAAGAGTCAATCCGACGGAGCCAGATTGGGAGAACGCCTCCCCCTTGGTGCGCTTGTTTTCTTTTTTATCAACCAAGGCAGAAGAACAAGCCATGTTCTCGGCAGTGGGAAGCCCTGTTCCGGACGAGCCGAAGTAGCCAAGTCCAAGACGCCAGCTTGCCACAAGGAATGGCCCTAGAGAGCCATCTAATATAGGCGAGCTGAGGCGGGCAACAAAATGGCGGTGGACACTGCAGCTTGCACTCAACCATGGCTGACTAGTTATCGCGAACATGACCATGGGCTCTCCCTATCGGGCGATAATCGAGATAGGCATACAACAGTCTGCTCCATACCGGTGCATGGATTCGACCTCGTGGAGAGATGTGAATCCACATACTATGTAGATATACAACTCTCTATCTCCTCCTATGGTTGAGGCTGGCTTGCTGTATCCGATTCCCGGGGTCAGCAAGCTCCACAGCCGCCGTGGACTTGATATCAAGATTCAGAAGAAAACCAGATCTTCCGGCTGGACAGTCCTAGCGCTGGTGAGCACGGTGAACGGGATTTGCAATTCTCTCATACCTCCCACATGGCTAGTTGTATACCCGGTATTGCTTCTCGCCGCCAGACTTGCTCCGAGAAACATGACCATATCCTCTGGCAAAGTTGCCACCTCGAAGAAGCGAGACTGCGGGACCCTTGCTGGTCATTTCTGTACTATGCAGGCTATCATCATGGCGCTGCAGCAACGTGTCTGGGAATATTTCTTTTGGACAGTCGATATTTGGGTCCCTTGATGAACGGTTGCTCCGCTCAGATAACTAGTTAACTAACTAGTCCACCTGTCAACCTGTCTGTTGAAACGTCAGGCGAACTCCGGCTGATAAACATTCCCCCATCTACAGATCCGGCTCTAGTCTGGTTGCTGGCTTCGAGAAGTCTGAGATCGGACGACCCGACATCACGATGGCGAGCATGAAGATGGATAATGGTGTCTTAGTTCATTTCTCGCGGATTTGCCCCTGGGCTCAGCGCTGTTAGTCCGATCCTTACAACATATGGACGCCCACACGTCTCGCTGACCGAGAAACTAGACTATAGCCTGGTCTGATCGGAGAACATCACTGTTTGTATGGAGTATATCGGTTTGATGTACGGAGTACTACGGCTCCGTCGCCCGGCCCAGAAGTTACTCTATCACCAGATAATTCTCACCATATACAGCTGAGAGATACCAGGACACAAGGTACATCTCTCCTTATCAAGATTCAAAATCGACGAGGATGACCCGCTCATTCTCAGCGTTTAAGAAGATATTTGCTATGATGAGTACACTATGCTGCTTACAGAGCGTAGTTCTCTGCTTTTTCGTCCCAGATATCGTCGAAGGAATCTCTCTGCCTAGCTCCAGGCAACTTACCCCTAATACAGAGGCTACGGACATGCGTGCCTCAAGCCTGAGCCGTTTTCCAGAGTGCTATTCAATACAGAGTACTCCGTACATACATGGCAGTAACATGTTCTCTACAAGCGGTTTCTCATAGCGCGCTTATATAATCAGAGAGTAACAGTCATGTGATGGGTTAATCACGTGAAAACGTTTCTGCTTATTAATGTTTTGACCACCCAAATACAAGCACGGAGTTGAACAAGCAATTTAATAACATAGAGCCCTGAGATGTAAAAGAAATCCAGATATCAAGGGAATAAAGAGATATCAGGCTTGGTTGGCTTGCTCAGGGCTGTGCTATGAAGACTACGAGAAATGGGGGGGCCAGTTGCAACTGATTCCATGTTGAATATAACAAGGGCTCGATGCATGCAGTAATCTTAAGTGCTCCTGGGCGGTCCTCTTATAACTATTTGCTCCACTACTAGTGTGTGAGCTTTACCCTTTTGTCTCTACCCTTTTGTTCACTGCTTGCTTCCGCTGCCTCCTCATGAGCTTTCTCGCAGGCCTTCCTGACTTCGGGTATCGAGTAGCAGCCTTTTGACCCCCGGTGTGGCATACGAGAGTGGTGTGCGGCCAACGGAATCCTTGGATTTGACATTAACCTTGCCGGTGTCGAGCAGAAGCTCTGCTACCACTTCATGCCCATTCCACACAGCATATGATAGCGGTGTCCTGCCATGGCGGTCCCTAGGCTCGACATAAACCTCGCCAGTGTTGAGCAGTGCCCGTGCTATTGCTTCCGCCCCGTCGTTTGCAGCATGTGAGAGCGGTGTTCTGCCATAGCGATCTCTAGCGTTGACGTTCACTCTCCCAGTGTTGAGCAACAGCTTTAATACCGTTTCATGTTTATATCGTGCAGCACATAATAGCGGTGTATCACCAATGCAGTCCTTGACGTCGAGATCCGCCTCGTTGGTATCTAGTAGCAGTCTTACTATCGCTTCATTCCCATGTTTTGTGGCACATAATAGCGGCGTATCACCAATGTAGTTCCTGACGTTGACATCCGCCTCCTTGGTATCAAGCAACAGCTTTACTATCGCTTCATTCCCATATCCATATAGTGTGGCACATGATAGCGGCGTATCACGAGTGTAGGACTTCAAACCGACATCCACCCTGTTGGTATCTAGCAGCAGCTTTACTATTGCTTCATGTCCATATTGAGCAGCGTACATTAGCGGTGTCCGGCCACGATCATCCACACAGTCGACCTCAAGCTTGTCAGTATCGAGCAGTGCCTTCACTATCGCTTGCGCCCCATGTTTTGCGGCCGGGTGTAATGGTGTTTGGTGAGCAGCGTCCATCACCTCGACATCAGCACCCTCATCGATGCTGAATTTCGCAGTAGACTTCATCCCATTTTTGGCAGCCCATAGTAGCGCTGAATTTTTTGAATTCCGTACATTAAACTTATAGAGATATGAGTTGACTCGGTAGTGAAACAAGCTGTTGGTTCGTGATAAACAGCTAATGTCCTTCTCAGTTATAAGCTCGCAAATTCCAAAATGTAGCTCTGGCGGCAGTGCTTGTAGTGACATCGTAGTTATAAAAGATCTAAAGGCATTTTGTGACAACTAGGTTTCGATGTTGTTAGTCCATGGCTTGAAGGTGAGCTCTTTATATAGCCCGGATGTGCCAGGCAACAATCCAGGCAATCAACCGCGAGATACCTATAAGATCCCTCCTTTTTGACCGGGATTATCAGGCTCCAACGCTGGATCTGACAATTGCGGCGGCCAGCGGCCCATTTTTGGTGCCAGAAAGGAGGTTTTGGACCTATAACTAGCTATTTCTCTCTCGACCCAGCTGAATCAGTGTTCGCTGACTTCAGAGATGCTAGACACTAAAAATATATAGGTTGAGTCCGCATGTTTCTATCAAATTAATAGACTTTGAACCTGAAAACTACTCCGTAGAAAAATGATTCAACTAAACACTCGTAAGTTTCATGCCATACCACTCGTTACGCTGCGTAATTCTCGTTTAAACAACTCCATGCCATGTTTCTTGTTGGCTACGGCTGGAAGCAAAAGAAGACCGCTCCGTTTCCTCTTCTTTGAAGGGGACTTCATAGAAATCTCCTTGTCAAGGATCTTTGCCCGTTCAAAATCTATGAGTATCACTCGTTTATTCTCAGTGTTCCAGAACATGTTGCCCTGATGGGCATCGCGATGCAAGACTCCTTGTCCATGTATTGCTCGCAGGGACTCCGATACTGAAGGTATGAAATTTTTCAGGTTGCTAGACCCGGCATGGAGCGTGACAAGCCTCCCCGCGTGGCCAAGGAGTAGCAGGTGGACAACTTCACAGATCCCATCATACCAGAGTGGGCTAGGGGATATGTCAACACTCCCCAGGCAAACGGGTACATAGATCCCCTGGATTGTACTGAGGTGTTGATATATACGCTCTTCGTGTAATGCACGGCTAACCATCTCAACAGGCATTGCCTTCGCCACAAGAGTGTACCCATATGGGAAAGTTGTAAGCCAGAATAACGCTCCAGAAGTTCCATGGCGGTGCATAGACTCGCAGCCCCAGGGACCTGTTTTCCCTATGATTTGCTCTCGGACGAGCTTGCGGAATACATGTTCATCAATAGCATGTTGGCCTTTACCGTGACTGGCGACGTTCGGACAGTCTGGGTCAAGAGGGCCACGGTTGCGCAGGCCGAGAAGACATTTCTGGGTGCACCATGGCGCGATCGGCCCGTAGTTATATAAATATTTTGCCCTTTCGGTTGGCGCAGGGGGCGGAGAGGATGGTGGTGGTGGTGGAGGAACAACAACCATGAGGTTTGAAGATCGGCGAGGAAGGCCTTCCGTTGGACTGCTGGGATAAAATCTACCGCCTCCGCCGCCCCCATTGCTATCATCGCTATCAGGATCTGAATTTGTCGGTCTTTCTTCAGGGTCGCGGCAAGAGGCCGAGAATAAAGCTTTCGACCTTGTTCTGACTGGCGAGGCACGGATATATTCATCCCTACTCCTCCGGCTCTGTTTATAGTCAGATAGCTTTTTGCCGCTGCTCTTCTCAACCTCTGATATATCTGATGCAAAGAGGATGTCGTCATGTTCAATCTCCCATGTCTTTAGCTGATCTTCTGCATATTTTCTCCAGTCTTGGCCACGAGGCCGTGTTTTCAAGGCCCGGAGGGTAAAGGCGAGAACCTGTCCAACTGCCGTAAGATGCAGGCAGTCATCTAAGCTGCCATTTAAGAGAGTTGCCTCTTCAACATCTTTATTTGGGATAGAGAGATAGTAATAGACGGTGGTAGGGTCATCAGAGGGTACACGAAGGAAAATAAATGTTTCACCTGTGCAGATATACCCAAACTCAAGCTCTCCCTGAATCATATAGGAGAATGCTTGTGAGATAACTGCAGCTACTCTCCGGCGAGCAAGCTTCTCTGGGCCATCATCCTCATTATATAGAACCACGTCATCTACTTCCATGTCCTTAAGTCCAGCGTCCACGGTATCAAGTGTGAGCTTATGTGGTGCTTTATATTCAATAATAAATGCGGGGATATTCCCTTCGCGGCCCGCATTATAGACACAGAACTGATCAGCACGGGGCCGAGATGACCTTGATCGCACAGCAGGCATGGCAGGCAGAGTGTCTCCCTGTACATCGATTTGCTTCCGCCGCTTCTGCACTGGAGATTGCTGTGGAGTACTTGGCTCTGGCCCATCACTCTGTCCTTCAGCGCCTATTGTATTGCCGTGATTCTCAAATATCACTTCCCCTAAAATATTGAACGTGTCGCGAAGGTCGTGGTTCAAGTAGAGGCTTCGAATGATAAGCGAGACGCGGTCCTCGACAGTATAGCGCTCATAGATACAGAGATCTAGCTCTGAGCCCATTAACCTCCTTTTTATATCCTTACCTAATTCTTCTAGCGTATTCAAAGACATAAAATGGGGCTCTGAGGTGAAATTAACATTCAAGAGGTCTTCCCACACTGCACATTGCTCTTGAGGGAACGTCTCCCATTCTAGGATATGGTTGGGTCGAAGCTTAGAAGATGCGTTCTCGGCCTGTCCTTGAGTTCCACTCGTGTAGTTGATACGCGAAGAGAAACCCACAGATAGGTGGGTATGGCAGGCATTCAAAAATTCAGGGAGGGTGGTCTGCTGTATTCGCCTTTCCGCTATCTTCCTACCCTGTTCAGCCTCCTCTTTATCCTGCTGAGCCTGTTCTCTATCCCGCTCAGCCCTCTCTCTATCCTGTTCAGCCTTCTCTCTATCCTGCTGAGCCTGTTCCCTATCCCGCTCAGCCCTCTCTCTATCCTGCTCAGCCTGCTGTCGAAGGCGCTTCTCGTTCTCTAGCTCCTGGCGAATTGCCTCCAGTTCAGAGGCTGACATGACTGAAGTTTTGGATTATTACTCGGGGTGTCAGTCGATAGATCTTCATCACATTAGCCATAGGATAACCAGAGTGTTCATGATTCCTGGCTCAGACGTTAGAGGAGATAATTAATATGTACATGAAGTCGTTCCTTACCTCAATCGTTCGAGCTCCTGGCAGGCAACAACATCAGCCGGACTATATATAATCCGTTTGAGGCTCTTTCAGCCACCAATTTGGAAAGCTAACATAGATGAATCTGCCATGGACAGATACAGGGAGTGTGGTCCTTGGATGACTATAGTATGTCATTGATGCAGTTTTAATTTTATCTATTTATCTCATCGCGCGCACATTAACATCCCACAGTTTGGATGGACTGCTCCGGATACGGATCAACTAATGTTCGGATTGTAATATATTATGTAATTAATTTTTTATCACGTGAAACCTTACATAAGTAGGTACCCGCATCTGTAAATAATTCCGAAGCAAGAACTTCATCCCTTCGAAAATATATTAAGAAAAACACTCCAGATAGAATATCAGAGCAATGGGTTGCGGGGAGAATTTCGAGCGCACTTCCACCTGGCTGGCACTTTGAAACCGCCACCGCCGCCCGAACTTCTGTGATAGAGTCCTCTTAACCGATATGCGCCATCGATCGTTACTAAACATGGCTACACGGCGTCAAGTTGGAGCATGTCTGAAAATATGCAAGCGAGTTACAATACACATTACTCTGCGACTCCATACGTACTTAGTCACCAACATACGACTTCGCATTAAGCAGCAAAGAGAAATGATACGGATCATACCCGGACTTGATAATCTTAACGAATGTTGGTCCCGCGTGTATCGGGCCCAATGACTTCACTGACCTCATTCCAAAGCCCGTACTCCGAACTCCCTTAACCACTTAAGATGATGATGAACAGCGCAGGGGGTTTTGTAAGCGGACTTCAGGCTGGCCTTGCACAGCCAGAGGGCCCGAACACGCTAGGCTCTGGGTTTCGCTGCTTCTCGTAAGTTAGGTCTATACCAGCGTTCCCGGCTCTGCTGTTTCAACCCCGCCAGCTAAAGCTCCGATATTTGGTCATATACCCTATCAACAACTTGTTTTGTTTGTACAAGAGTTAGAGCCCCATCTCTTGATCTCGGGACAAGGGATTCTCAAGTTGGTCGATGCATAAGTTATCATTCATCAGCTGCTAGACGCATGCTTAGAGATGATATCCCTTTAATCTCACAGTGGGACTAACATGGCTTAGAATGAAGACCTGTATCCAGGTCTTCCGCCGTACTCTGTGATGGTAAAGTTACGGACACACGCCCCGTTGGAAGGCCTTACCTACTTAAAGGCTATAACATTCCGCCTACGGCGACAATCATGGCCAGAAGCAAGCAGAGAGCTGATACTCTCTAGTTTGACGGACTCATTTGATTTCTAGCCTGATTTTACTGGCTACCACGCTCTTTACACTTTACCAGAAATTACCGGATATTACGCTCTTTACAATTCCCTAGCCACTACCCTCTTTATTGCCTAGTAGAATTTACTGGATATCACGTTCTTTACTATTCATTATGAAACTTGCTTTTTTCATTTGGCTTTTCAGCATCATCCTACCCGCCGTCCATGGGCAGCGCGGCGTACTGATGCATGAACCTGATTCCCAGACGATAGCAGCCTTTGCAAAGAAAGGCTGGTGTTATGCCTATGTTAGCACCCAGAACCTTAACAAAACTTTGGCACCGTGCAAAACTTATTGCCAAACCCATAATATGGGAAAGTTAGACGACATATCGGTAGGAGACTTCGTACATCATTGCCCTTATTGATTCTAGGATAAAGTTAGACTTACTCGTGCTGTAGTGTGTCCTCTTTGGTGCTACATCGAAAGAGCTGGCGGCCCAAGGCCTCTCCTACACTGACGACGATGGTAACGAATTTGTAACCGGTGAATGTGACTGCGATCTTGAGTGGCTTGGGAAAATTATTTTTACCGTGCTTGAGGGGCTTGAGCGCTTGGATGAGATTGTATGTGGTGTCTTTGTATCCGCATTTGAGCTTATCCTTGATGTTGGGCTTTCTGCCCTGCCCGGCGGCCAGATCAAGCAACTGGGAACCTTAGTTAGGGGCGCCAAAACGTTAGTTGAGAATGGATTGGATGCATCGGCATTCTTTGGCGGCTGGGTTACCCCTATTTGCGGTAAAGACTGGGACAGGGAAGCACAACACAACGTCTTTAATGGTTTTGCTGAAGCGCCGGACGAGTATGGGACTAGTATAGGCTGCAAGAGAGCAGAGGGCTGTATCGAGTCCAGGAGTTTTCCCGAAGATCGCGGCGGAAAAGGAAAAAGAGGAAAGGGAGGCAAACCTGGAAAGGGGAAAGATGACTCCAAATCGAAGGACGAGCCCAAGACGAATGATAAACCGAAACCAAGTGATGATCCCAAGCCAACTACCAAGGAGGAACCAAAGCCAACGACCGACGATAAGCCGAAATCAACGACGAAAGAACCCCCCAAGACAACAACTAAGGAGAAACCGAAGACAACCACAGAGAGGCGGACACAGTCAAAGACTACTGAACACAAATCGACAACTACCAAGGGTCCCGTAAAGTCGACATCTAATTCCAAACCCTGGTCAACAACCGCAACAAACCCTCATTCAACATCTGAGGAGAGCCACAACCTTACAACCACAAATCAAGCCAAATCAACATCCAAGAAGGATGGCACGAAGTCAACGTCCACATCCCACTCCAAGCCAACTACTACAAATCACCACATGGTATCTTCTACGGTTAGTCAGTCCAAGTCAACCTCCACGAAGCGTAGCACTCAAATATCATCAACCAAAACCCAGGAGCCATCGGCTACTCCCCCTAGTTGCAAGCCAGGTAAAGGTATTAATGGATGCTCAGAATGCTCTAATGTTCGAGTGTGGGAACCGGGATCGTCTGAAGATGAAGAAAGAGGGGATGACTCTGCTGTGGAGGACGAGGAGAATAATGGTAGCTCCGATTTGGCTGTCAGGGGATCTGGCTTCTTCAATTGGGTCTCGCAGGAGCTAGATAGGAGGGCAAGTAAAGCTGGTAGCAGGACAAAACCAAAAGACAAGAAGGAGATCAAATTCTGCGGCCTCCAAGCCTTTACGAACCCATACCCCTCTGGTGGTAATCTGGCTAAAGTAAGTCTAATATATTAATTCACAAGCTGTCGGGCCTGTTCACTAACCATCTGCTGGATATAGAAAAAGAATGTTGGTAAAGACATTATATATTCTGTGGCAAAACCCGATGAATGTGGAGATTTCAGCTTTGCACGACGCCCAACCTCGAAATTTAGTACCGATTACAAAAAATTCAGCAGTCCCTGGGACCCTGATCGTGGGTTTGCAACTGAACATATTGTCGAAGCTCAACTTATCCACCAGTTTTCCGAAGACATTTCAAAGTCGATGGGCGAGATCTTTCTAGACCCATATAGTAAAAGCGCAAGGTGGACTTTGCACATATATGAATGCTTATTGGAATGACACTAACAAAAACCCTCTTCCGGCGCTCTCGGGAGTTTCAAAGAATCCAACAAGGCCTGCCACCAAATGGATTGCTGATCAATACCCTGTCAACACCATGTGGCTCGATGAGTTTGTCTTGCTTACAGGTGGTGTTAACAATGTAAAATCCAGGGTCAGTACACTATTTCTCCCTACCAATTTTCTATAGCTAACATTAAGATGGATATAACAGATGTGGAATGATGGAACTCTTGTCGACGAGAGATATATCACAGACCCGCTGATGGGGGACGATTTCCTGACAATGCCCCTTAAGGGGTCTAAGACAATCAACGCTATTTTGAGGTTCAAAGACGTCATATTTGCCTACAAATACCACACAGAACCTGAGATTGAGCGGATCTTTAAGTTGCAAATAGACCGAATCTCGACAATATTTGGCAATCTTGACGATGAAACCAAGCATCTCGACTTTGAGCAGAATGCGAACGCTTTAAAAAAGATTTTGCGCGATTATAAGCCGCAAGAACTTCAGAAAAAGTGGGATAAGTGGATCAAGGAACACACCGACAAGAGCATAGCCAAAGTCGAGGACTTTTTCAACGAGCATTATCATAAATATTCAGATACACGGAAACGTTTACAAAAGGGTCTACAAGATGCCATCAATGCCGCTGAAAAAGAAGAGCGAGAGAACAAGAAGAAAACGCTGAATCAACAGCAAAAGAAAGCAGCTGATGCAAAAAGAGAACAGCATAAGGCTGAGAAAGAAAAGTATGAGACGGTCATTCAGTATCTCAAGGATTTGGAAGCAACGTACCTGGAAACTATGAAGACGAAGTGGAAAAATCCACTCAAATGAAGATCAGGATTCCACAGAATATTAGTTACCATTATAACTATTTACATGAAGACAAATTACCATTTTCTATCAACTTGTCATTCTTAATTCACGATTAACAAAGTGTTTCTCTTCCTGTTCCCCAAATTAGTATCTAAACTATCTACACAGTAGTTTATAGTATCAATGACGATAATATATAGCGCCGTTCGGCCCCAATGCTTCCATCCAACACTTTTCAATTTCCTCACTAGCACGCCAGTGTAGCACATCACAGACTATCCTGGGTCTTCTGGTAAGCTGGCGTTCCTTAGGATCGTCCCTAAACACTCTGCCTTCACCAGAAGCCCTGTAAAAGATGTCAAATCGACGTTTCAATCCTTCAACTTTGACATATGTTGGGGATAGCTCATCCTCGCCAAACCATAGATCAAGTTTTTTGAGAGAAGGCGCGTGACGAATAGCTGATGCCATGGCCTTTAGGAGAGGGTCCATTCTTTCTGGGTTGGGGATACTACGGAACATGTTATCACCATTATGTAGTTTAGGAGCACGA